AAAAATTAGCATAGCATGTTTATGAAAATACCTCGCGGGGGAGGAAAAGATTAGCAAACAAACATAGAAGATGTGCATCATTTGCGTAAAAATACGGTACATGTTTTTGGGGGAACCGATATGTTCCCCAAGTCACAACTGATTAGTTTAGAGGTGGGCACCTGGGCCACACTGGACTAATCATAGTTCTTAGCTTATCTTTCCAGAGTTGACTGGCCCAGGGTTAATCAAACGATCTATACCAAGCCAAAGTCAAACTGGAACTACAAGTCAGGTCCTCTGCTGTAGTGGAAGTCCATTGTGCGTTGCAGAGGCCAAACTTCCCTGCCATTTAGAAGTTAATCTGCACTGAGATAATGAAAGTAATACCAGAAGAATCAAAAGTACGAGATGAAAAGCCCTGGCAGCATTTTCTACCCCAACTTCAGTTGTTTTTGAAGCTCGACTGCATTTTTGCACGTAACTGCAACTTGAATATTCACTTTTTCTAGAATTCTACAAACCCACAAATTTCTACTTTGGCTTCAGTTATCCAAGCCAGTTTTCTGTTTACAATCAAAATTATTTTTCATATATTTTATTTAACTAGCACTCATCTATTCTATGACCTCATCTATCCCAAACAGGAAAACCAGGAATTAAGCATAAACAGCCTCTAACACACTTTCATAATAAAAACACTCAACAAACTAGGAATAGAAGGGAACTTCCTCAATAAGAAAAGGACATCTACAAAAATCCCACAACTAACATCATATCTAACGGTGAAAGACTAAAGTATTACTCCTGAGATCAACAAGACAAGGACGTTTGCTTTCACCACTTCTATTCTACCTGTACTGGAGGTTATAGCCAGGGCAATTAGGCAAGAAAAAGAAATAAAAGGCATCCAGATTGGAAAGAAAGAAGTAAAACTCTATTTGCAGATAACATGATCTTGTACATAAAACATCCTAAAAGAACCCACTAAAAAAATTACAAGAGTTAACAAATGAGTTTAGCAAGATTGCAGGATACAAGATCAATATACAAAAAATCCACTGTACTTCTATATACTAGCAATGAACAAACCAAAAATAAAGAAAATAATTCCATTTACAACAGCATCAAAATGAATAAAAATACTTTAGAATAAATTCAACAAAAGAAGTGCAGGACTTATACACTGAAAACCATAAAATACTGCTGAAAAAATTAAAGACCTAAGTAAATAGATAGATATCCCATGTTCATGGACTGGAAGACGTAATACTATTACGGTGGCAATATTCTGCAAATTGATCTACAGATTTAATGCAATACCCATCAAAATTCCAGCTTCCTTTTTTGGCAGAAATTGACAAACTGATCCTAAAATTCATATGAAAATGCAAGGGAACCAGAATAGCCAAAACAATCTTGAAAAAGAACAACGAAGCTGGAAGAATCATACTTCCTGATTTTAAAACTTTACTACAAAATACAGCAATCAAGATGGTGCGGTACTGGCATAAATCCTTACGTCGCTTGATCTTTCACAAGGGTACCAAGACCATTCAATGAGGAAGGAATAGTCTTTTCAACAAATGGTGCTGGGACAATTGCATATCCACATGCAAAAGAATAAACTTGGACCCCACCTCACATCATATAAAAAAATTAACTTAAAATGCATCAAAGGCCTAAATGTAAGAGCTACAGGTATAAAACCCTTAGAAGAAAACAAGTGTAAATCTTCATGACCTTAGATTAAGCAATGGTTTCTTAGCTGTAACACCAAAGGCACAAGCAATCAAAGAAAAAATACTGGACTTCATCAAAATTAAAAAGTTTTGTATTTCACAGGACACCATCAAGAAAGTGAAAAGACCCACGGGTGAGAAAAAATTTTTTTTGCAAATCATATCTGATAAGATTCTAGTATCCAGAATATATAAACTCTTACAATCCAACAAAAACAAACAAAAAAACCAAAAAATCCAATTTAAAAAATAGGCAAAGGACTTAAACAGACATTATTCCAAAAAAGACATACAAATGGCCAATAAGCACATGAAAAGATGCTCACGTCATTAGTCATTAGGGAAATGCCAAACAAAACCACAATGAGATGTCACTCCATCCCCACTAGGATGGCTATAACCAAAAAGACAGACAATAACAAGTACTGGTGAGAATGTGGCGAAATTGGAACTCTCAAACATTACTGACAGGAACCAGTTCGGTGGTTCCTCAAAAAGTTAAATGCAGAGTTACCTTATGAACCAGCAAATCCATTCCTAGGTATACACGCAAGAGAATTTAAAACAGGGACTCAAATAGATACTTGTGATCCACAATCAACATCCATGGAAGCAGCAGTCAAATCAAATGATGTACTGCATTGGGCAAATCTGCTTCAACAGACCTCTTAAAAGTGTTAAAAAGCATAGATGTCACTTTGAGTACTAAGGTGCACCAGACCCAAGCCATGGTATTTTCAATTGCCTCATATGCATGCGAATGTTGGACAATGAATAAGGAAGACCAAAGAAGAACTGATGCTTTTCAATTATGGTGTTGGTGAAGAATACTGAATATACGATGGACTGCCAGAAGAATGAACAAATCTGTCTTGGAAGTACAGCCAGAATGCTCCTTGGAAGTGAGGACGGCAAGACTTCATCTCACATACTTTGGACTTGTTATCTGGAGGGACCAGTCCCTGAAGAAGGACATCATGCTCGGTAAAGTAGAGGGTCAGCAACAAGATGGACTGATAGAGTGGCTGCAACAATGGGCTCAAACATAGCAATGATTGTGAAGATGGTGTAGGACTGGGCAGTTTTTCGTTCTGTTGGACACAGGGTCACTATGAGTCAGGACCGACTCAACGGCATCTAACAACAACGCTAATATTCACACAGCCTTATTCGTAATAGCCAAAACAACCGAAATGTCCACCAGCTGATGGATGGATAAACAAAATGTGGTATATCCATACAATGGAATGAAGTCTGATACATGCTTCAATATGGATGATCCTTTAGAACATTAGGCTAATTGAAAGAAGTCAGACATAAAAGGTTACAGGATATATGATTCCATTTATATGAAATGTCGAGAATAGGCAAATCCAGAGACAGAAAGTAAATTAGTGGTTGCCAAGGGCTAGGAGGGAAGAAGTGGAACGGGGAGTGACGGTTAACGGGTATGGCATTTTTTGGGGAGGGTGATGAAAATGTTTTGCAATTACAAAGTGGTAATGGTTGCATGACTGTGAATATACTAAAAATCACCGATTTGTACATTTTAAAAGGGTGAATTTTATGGTTTGTGAATTTTATCTTAATTGTGGGAAAAACAAAAAAAAACTTGAGTAGGAATAAAAAAGCCTCTAAGCTACAAAAGTACAGATCACAAAGATCATACACCAACATCCATATATTTTACCCTACAAAAAAACCTGATTCTCACCTTAGATCTATTTATTCTCTCTCTACATATAATCTGTATAAACCTGGTTGTATGGATTCAAAGCTCATAGCTGATTAACACCCTCATATAGGGAAAATAGGAGTCCTGGGTGGCGCAAATAGTTAAGCGCTCAACTACTAACCGAAAGGCTGGCAGTTCAAATCCAACCAGACGTGCCTCAGAAGTTTTCTACCTATCAATTTGCTTCCAAAAGGTCAGAGCCTTGAAAAACCTATGGAGTGCAGTACTACTCTGCACACATGGGGTCACCATGAGTCAGAACTGACTAGACAGCAACTAGTTTGTTTAACTGTTGTTAGGTGCCAATTTTTATATTGTTTTTTAATAGGGAGATAAAATTGGTACAGACAGGCACACTGACAGTAAGTTAGAAAACAGGCAAAATAACTTGTAAGCACAGCCTGAAGACATTTACCAGTAGTAAGGACAGAATGGTGTATATATTTATTGATCTTGGCTGTATCATAATATACAGGCTGATACAGTAATTTATATTTACAGTAATAAAAATAATGATAATTAAGGTAACAAAAGCTAATCCACTTATCACTTTCGAAATGCCAAGCACTATTTTAAGTACTAAACATTAATTTACTCATGTAACAATTCCTGACCGCCCTATAAAGAAAGTGTTGTTGTTGTATGCTGTCGAATCAATTCCAACTCACAGTGACCCTATATGAAACAGCAGAACTGCCCCATAGAGTTTACTAGGCTGTAATCTTTAAGGGTACAAACTGCCACCAGGGCTTCTTACTTTATTGATGAGAAAATGAGGGATCTCATAGCTAAGTAAATGGCAAAGTTAAGATTTAAAGCCAAGCTGCTGATTTCAGAGCCCATTCTCTTAACCATTACACTGTAATTACAATCAAACCAAACCAGTTGCCATCGAGTCAGCTCCAACTCACAGTGACCTCATGTGTGTCAGAGTAGAACTGTGCTCCACAGGGTTTTCAAGGGCTGTGATCTTTCTGAAGTAGATCACCATTACATTATACTGCCCCTCAAGAATAAGTCATAAGTCAAAAAGAAGGATTAAACCATTTTCAGTATGCTCTAACAACACAGGAAAAATCTACAATTTTTATTTCATTATAAAAAAGCTCTTTTAAAAAAAAAAAAAAAAAAACCTGTCCTATGACAGCTGTTACCTCATACTTGTAATTTATCTAATATGCTACAGCTTCTGGCAAAATCTGATTCTTCTTATTTACTCCCAAACTCAGCTTAACCCTAACCTTCTTTCTTCCAAACTCACCTATCCACACTTCCATGATCTTCAACGTCTCTGAAGACCAACTGGCTCCAACCCATCTCCACGACTTCAAGTAACAGACTTTTCAGAGGTAAACAAATCTATCAAAGCTAGGGATGGTCCAATGATCTCTAAGACAACCTTTTATATAAAACACATCTTTAAGTCAAATGTCATCTTTCTATTCTTGTTAATGTAAAATTAAAACAAACTGAACTACTTCTATGAATTACCCATTCAGGCAGTCACAGACCTGAATTAATATTTGTGTAGTATTCTCCATTACCTAGGCTGAGAATTCTCCTCATACATTCTTTCTTTCCCCTCCTTGAAGAGGCTTATGGTCTGCTTAGTTTTCTTCATCAAATTCTCCATGAATACCCTAAAATACTCATTTTCTCCAAGTGTCTCCATCTTCCCCTCATATCTTGACAAGATAGTACGCAGATGCTGGTAGGTATCTGGCAGCAGGTCTAATATATAAGGTGGGCTATTCTTTAGCGCCAGCTTTGGGTTCTGACACAACCGCACCACCTGCAACAAATGGAAAAGAAGGGCTATTACTTAGAGGATCTTAAGGACAATTTCCTTTTTCAAGTTAAAAAAAAGTTATAAAATATGTATTTTTTTTGTAAAAACAGAGAAATGGATAAAAGAATTTAAGAAATCATCCATAGACCCACTGTCCACAGGCAATTGTTTTATATTTTTAGTGGTTCCCCCTAGAAGACTGGGTTCATAAAACCCTATGGGAGAGTGACATCACAGAAGATGGTGGAGTAGGAAACTCCAGAAATCAGTCCCTCCACTAAAATATCTTTTGAGCTGGTAGAAACTGTCTGAATCAACTATTTTGGAACTCTGGAGTCTAGTGGAACACTTGTAGCAACCAGGAGAGAGCCTGATGAAGAGGCTGGTAAATTTCAGTAAATTTTAGTAGATTCTTGCATTTTGCATAGGGGCTACCATCCCCCCGGGCCCACAGCACGCAGCCATGGGGACTGCAGCCTGCATTCCTCTTGAAGCAGGCTGCTGCCAGGGTGAGCAACAACGACCTTGTCCTTCAAAAACCAGGGTTGTGTTTTGGTTGCTAATCACTGCTTTTGATCATTGAGGCTAGCCATTTTTTCAACCCCCATGGACTGAAACGGCTTCCCAGGTGGCCTCTGTTGAGGGAATTTAGAGAGATGATACCTTTTTCTGTTTCTTTCTTTCCCTTTTGGAAGCCATACCCTTAAGGAAATCTTTATCAGGTCACTGGCTGATGACAAAGAGAACAGATCAGAAACTTCAGTGACCATATACAATAAGGAACATACTTTGCAACAATACTCTAGAAAAGTCACAAATGGACAGGTCCAGTCCTCAAGAAGAAAAAATCAGCAATCCCTGAGGAGTGGGAGAATCAGATTTCCAGAGCTACCACAACATAGTACTCAGAATGTCTAGTTCTCGACAAAAAATTACCAAACACACAAAGAAATAGAAAAGTTTGGCCCATTAACAAGAAAAAAAAATTTGACAGAAACCACCCCTGAGGAAGCCTAGACATTGATATTATTAGTCAATGACATTAAGTCAACTGCCTTAAATATGTTCAATGAGCTGAAGGAACTCACAGACAAAGAACTAAACAAAATCAGGAAAACAATGAACAGAACCTGAGGGATCTATGGAACACCATCAAGTATACCAACATACACTTCTGCCCAGGAAGTTGCTTCACCCTGTGGAGGTTGAAACAATGGCTGGCCTCTGTGCTGGCCCCTTAGCAATCAAAAGCAGTGATCTGCAACCAAACTGTACACACTATAGGAGTTCCAGAAGGAGAAGAGAGGAAAAGAAAGGGCAGAAAAAATATTGGTTGAAAACTTTCCAAATCTGATGAAAGTGATGAATATGCACATCCAAGCTCAACAAAATCCAAGCAAGATAAACACAAAGAGATTCACACTGAGACACATCATGGTCAAACTGTCTAAAACCAAAAGTCAAAGAGTGAATTCTGAAAACAGCAGGAGAAGTGACTTATCGCATACAAGGGGTCCTCAATAAGATTAACAGCTGATTTCTCCTTACAAACCATGGAGGCCAGAAGACAGTGGGATGGCATATTTAAAGACCTGAAAGAAAAAAAAACTTCAACCAAATATTCAATATTCAGCAAAGCTATCCTTCAAGAATAAAGGATAAATCAAAACATTTCCACATAAAGCAAAGCTGAGGGAGTTTATTACCAGTAGATCTGCCCTACAAAAAATGCTAAAAGGAATCCTTCAGGCTGAAAGAACACTGGACAGTAACTCAGAGCCATAAGAAAAATAAAAGAATATTAGTAAGGTAACTTCATGGATAAATATAAAACCCAGTATTTTTGTACTTTTGATTTTGGTTTGTAACTTTTCTCTTCTTATATGATTTGAAAAGCATATGCATAAACAATAATTATAAATTTATGTTTATCAACTTATAATGTATAAAAATATGGCAAAGGGTAGAGATATATAGGAGCAGAGTGTTCGTATACTATTGAAACTAAGTCGGTATTATTCAAACTAGATTGTTTAAAGATGTTAATTGTAATTCCCAAGGCATCCGTTAAGAAAATAACTAAAAAATATATATGAAAGGAAATAAGGGAATCAAACTTGTACCCTACAAAAAATCAACTAAATATTTTAAAAAAGGCAATAATGGATAAATGGAAGAACAAAACAAAACATAAAAAGACATACAGAAAATAGTGGCAGCATTAAACCCTTCTTTATCAGTAATCACATTAAATGTAAATGAACTAAACTCCTGCATTAAAAGGCCAAGATTGGCAGATTGGACTTTTAAAAAAAAAGATCCATCTATATTCTGTCTATAAGAGACTCACTTTAGATAAAAGGACACAGAGGTTGAGAGTAAAAGGGAAAAGATATTCCATGCAGAGAGTAACCAAAAGACACTTGGAGTGACTATATTACTGTCAGACAAAACTGACTTTAAATCAAAAAAGGTTAAAAGAGACAAAGAAGGAAATTATATACTGATAAAAAGTTCAACACAGCAAGAAAAAATAACATTTATAAGCATATATACACCTAACAACAGAGCTCCAAAATGCATAAAGCAAAACTAACAAAATTGAACAGAGACGTACAGTTCTACAATAATAGCTGGCAACTTCAATACTCCACTTTCAATAATGGATAGAACATCTAGACAAGAGATCAACAAGGAAAGAGGACATGAACAACACTATAAACCAACTAGACCCAATGGACATATATACAACACTCTACTCAGCAACAGCAGAATACACATTCTTCTCAAGTGCAAATGGAACATTCTCCAGGATAGATCATAATTTAGGCCATAAAACAAATCTTGATAAATTTTTAAAAACTGAATTATTAAAAATATCTTTTCTGATCACAATGGAATAAAATTAGAAATAACAGAAGAAAACTGGAAAAATTAATAAATATATGGAAATTAAGCAACACACTCTTAAAGAAGAAATCACATGGCAAATTAGAAAATACCTTGAGATGAATGAAAACAAAAACACAACATATCAAAATTTACAGGATACAGTGAAAGCAGAAATTTATAGCTGTAAATGCATACATTAAAATATACATATATATATAAAATCAATAACCTAACTGTACACCTTAAGGAACTATAAACAGGAAAGTAAACACAAAGCTAATAGAAAGGAGGAAATAATAAAAATCAGAGGTAAATGCAATAGAGAATAGAAAAACAATAGAGGAAATTAACAAAACCATTATTTGGTTCTCTGAAAAGATCAACAAAATTGACATACTTTTGGCTAGACTGACTACAAAAAAAAGAGAGAAGACTCAAAATACTAAAATCAGAAATGAAAGTGAGGCCATTACTATTGATTTTTACAGAAATAAAAAAAAGAATTATAAGAGAATACTATGAACAGTTCTACCCACCAAAATTGAAAAACTTGGATGAAATTTACCAAAACTGACTAAAGAATTAGAAAATATAAATGAACCTATAACTAGTAAAGAGACTGAATTACAGGCAGTCCCTGGATTACGAACGTCCAACTTACAGACAACTCGCACTTAAGAATGGACTGTCACAAAGCCTATTATATTAAAAATGTGTCAGCTTCTCTCCCTCATAACTTACTCTAGGAGACGCTAACTGCCACAGCACAAAGGCACCCAAGCAACCCCATGGAGAGGACTGTATGGTGAAAACTGAAGGCTCCCGCCACTGGCCAGTAAAGAAACTGAGACCCCCTGCTAACAGCCATGTGAATGAGCCATCTTAAAAGTGTATCCTCCAACCCTAAGCAAGCCTTCACATGACAGTAGCCTGGCTGACATTCTTACTGCAATCTCATGAGAAACCCTGAGTCAGAACCACCCAGCTAAGCCACTCCTGAATTCCTGACCCACAGAAACTGTAAGACAATGTTTGTTGTTTTAAGCTCCCAAAAAAAAAAAATTTGTGTTAAGTGCAATGGTTTCATAATAAAAAACGCACACACTACTTTGTGATACTCATGAAAACACTGCGCAGATTAGAAGTGTTTAAGTGTTTTATATGCATTGAAAGGTAAAATATACAGTATATACTAAGACAAACATTTGACTAACTGATGCTAAATAAGAACTGTATGTAACTGTTCCAACTTACCTACAATCGACTTAAAGACAGACTTAGGAATGGAACTTGTTCATAACCTAGGGACCCCCTATAGTAATCAAAAAGCTCCCAACAAAGAAAGCCCAGGATCAGATGGTTTCACTGGTGAATTCTACCAAGTATTTAAAGAATTAACACCAGATCTTCTCATACTCTTTCAAAAAACTTAAGAGAAGGAAACACTTCCTAGCTCATTATATAAGGCCAGCATTACCCTGATACCAAAGCCAGATAAGAGCACTACAAGGAAAGAAAACTACAGACCAATTACCTCTTATGACTATAGATGAAAATATCCTCAACAAAATGCTAGCAAACCAAACCCAGTAGCATATTAAAAGGATTATACACAATGACCAAGTGACATTTATTTCCAGAATGCAAGGATGGCTCAACATACAGAAATCAATGCAATACATCATATTAATGAAGCTGGGGGGAAAAAAACCACATGATCATCTCAACTGATGCAGAAAAGGCATTTGACAAAATTCAACACACTTTTTTGATTAAAAATATTCAATAACTAGGAATAGAAGGGAACTTCCTCAATATAATGTTGTTGTTAGGTGCCATCAAGTCAATTTGACTCATAGTGATACCACATGACAGAGCAGAAATTTCCCCAGAGGGCTTTCCTGGCTGTAGTCTTTACAGAAACAGATCTAAAAACAAAAGCACAACATATCAAACCTTTTCATTCTTTTAAAACATAAGTGAATATCTTCACGACCTTAGATTAGGCAATGATTTCTTAAGCATGACCCCAAACGCACAGGCAGTAAAAGAAAAAATAGATAAATGAAACATCAAAATTAAAAAAAAAAAAAACTTTTGTGCATCAAAGG